TTCACTTCACTTCACTTCACTTCACTTCACTTCACTTCACTTCACTTCACTTCACTTCTTCTGCCTTCTGAATTCCAGGCCTCCTCCTTTTTCCTTATCCTGAGGGATCCTAAGCCACTAGTGGAGAAATGCTTTAGTGGCTATATTTTTAGAAGCCCTGGCATTCTCCCTTAACCTGTTTTTTCTCCTTAGTTTTTTAGAAGGCAGCGGCAGCGGGACAGATGAAAGTCCTTCCACCTCATTTGCAGAGGTGAGTTTTCCTACTCTTTTATTTTCAGCTTTCAACTGCTGTGTCCGTTCCCACTACTGAACTGCGCTGGACACTCTGTGTCGGAGGAAGGCCTGCTGTGGGGTGCGGCTTCCTTCCTGACTGCGGGGGGGGGGAGACCCCTAGCTGGGGGAAGGGGTGGGATGGAAACAAGCCATCGGCTGTTAGAGGAGTCTTGTGTAAACCTCTTGGTGCTTACAAATCAGTGGGGCTTAAAACTAGATAAAGCTTTGGATCATTTTCCTCAGTGAATAAATGAACAAGTATAATGTTTTTGACTCACTTGTTTAACTGGGTTCTCTTTATCTAGTTTTAGGACTTGTGTGAAGAACAGATCATGTTTTAAGACATATCTATGCAGAAATATTGAAAGTTCGAAAGGGTTCACAAACTTTTAAGCACCACTGTATATGTGGAAGAAATAAAAATACTGGGAATTTTTAGTAAAAACCAAGTACATTGACAGCATCTTCAAGCAGCGAGGCTGACTCCTTGGTGTTTGCAAATATGTTGCAAGCCAGACCAATTATGGCATTGGATCCAAGTCCCTTTATATTTAGACGGGTGACTGGTTATACCAAGATGCAGTTTCTGTCGTGTGAGACAGGCCTCCGTCTCGAAGGAGGGGCAGATGCTGGAAAAGGGAAGCTATTCAGAGCTTTCCCGACCATTTCAGCTGCCAGTCCTCCTCCCACCGCCTCTTCCCCAGGGCGTTGCTGGGCCTCCCACCTGCTTGTGGCCAAGACTGGCAGGAAGACCAAGCCGGCCAGGTGTGACGTGTGCCTCGACAGGAGGTAAGCCTGCTCTCCTGGCCTCCCCTCGTCTCCACGGCGACCTGGAACAGCGACCCTGGCCACCTCAGTGAGGCCTTGCATGGACGGAGGCTGCCTGTCTCCAGGCTGGGCTGTCCCCGTCTTTGGAGGCTGGGCGTGCAGAGCCCGTGAGGCACAAGGGTGGCTGGCTAGTTTGTGGCTTTGTGGGGTGCGCGAGCCAGCTGATGTTTCCTGTGTTGTGAGAACCCAGGCAGTGGGGTTAACTCAGTAAGCTGGGTCTGTTCACCGGGGTTTAGAACGTTGTGCAGATGCAGCTGGCATGTTAATTAGTGGCCTGAACTAACCGAGCGGCTTTGGTTTGAATGTGATAATTAGCCCTTGATTTTTCTCCTGCTGCACTTCAGAATTGCTCGTGCGGCCGTAGCTGTTGATATTGCATTTGAGAGGCTGCGGAGGAGTGGTGGGAAGCGCGGCTCTGGCTCTGGCTCTGGCTCTGGCTCTGGCTCTGGTTCTGGCTCTGGCTCTGGCTCTGGCTCTGCAAATCCTCCTTCAGTCTCCTCTTGAACACAGTGTGTCCTCTTGAATTACGCATTTTGAATCTCTGTTGTTTAAATGTATTTTACAATCCCCTCTGACTGATCTCTAAGGCTCCTGGCAGCTGAGCATTCATGCACTTTGGCCGCCCACTAATTGTATCAGAGGTAGCTGGGTTACGTGAGTTGTGGAATATCACGCTAGGGGTCTTACAGTGTTAACACCAGTGGGGCCAAGGATGGCCCTCCAAGGCACATCTCCCTTTGGGCTCTAAGTCAGCCACGGACCCCAGCAAAAGTGGCCATGGCTCGGAGGCTGTGCAGTTGCCCAGCATCATTCTCAAGTACTGCTTAGAAAGCGGTTCAAGCAAGGGAAAAAGAGTCTTGAGCATGAACTATAGATGGCTAGAAACTTGGATTTTTAAAATGAAGAAAAAGAGGAGGAGGAAAAAAAACTAAGGAATAGTTAAGACTGAGCTGGGATTGCTGGCAGCCTGAGTGACCAATCTCTCTCTCAGCCCAGCCTACCTCCTAGGCTTGTTGAGAAAAATGAGGGAGACCTCTGGAAAGAGTGCAGTGAGAGTAGTGTGCCCATCTTTGCTCTCCTTGATCTCTTAGCAGCTTTTGATACCCTAACCAGGTATCCTTCTGGACTGGCTCTGGGGGTTAGGAGTTGAGGCACAGTGTTATGCTGGTTCTCCTCCTTCTTCTGGGGTCAATTCCAGTCAGTGTTGATGGGGGAGGGAGAAGTCTGCCCCATGGCCCCTCTTATGTGGGGTGCCTTAGGGTTTGACCGTCTCCCCACTCCTGCTTAACATCTACATGAAACTGCTGAGTGAGGTCATTTGACCACATGGAGTGAGGTACCATCAATATGCTGAGGATACTCAGCTGTACATCTCCGCCCCTGGAGGGCCATGTCATGCTGGGCAGGTTCTGTCTCAGTGCCTGGAGCTTCTGGGCTTTGGATGGGATGAACAGGCTTCAGCTCAACCCTGCAGTTGGAGTGGCTTTGAGTGTTAGGATCTCCTGGATCTAGTGATTTTCCATCCTTAGTTCCAAATGGGGTTGCTCTTCCCCATTGGTGCACAATTTGGGTGACCTCCTGGACTCACATTTGAAGAGCAGATGGCAGCTGTGGCCAAGAAGGCCTTTGCACGGCTTTTTGTGGTACCCCAATTGTGCTATTTCCTGGATCAAAAGGCACTGTGCTTGGTCCCTCATGCTTTGGTCACCTCCTGAGTGAATTACTGTAATGCACTCTATAAGGTGCTGCCCTTGGACAATATCTGAAAGCTTCAGTTGGTCCAGAATGCAGCAGCATGGGCAATTGTGGGGGTGTCTCGCTTTGCCCATGTTACACCTTTGCTCTGTGAACTGCACTGGCCCCCAGTTTGCTTCCAAATGCAATTCAGGGTGCTGATTATTACCTATAAAGCCCCATGTTGCATAGGGCCAAAATATTTGAGGGACTGCTTTACTCCCGTTGTTTCTACCAGTCCCATTAGGGCAGGCAGGAGGGCCTGCTCCAGGTCCCATCTATTCGGGCTTGTCATCTAGCAGGACTCAGGAAGAGGGCATTTTCCTAGCTGCACCTACCCTCTGGAACACCCTCTGCTGACTCGGCTCACTTTTGGAAGGGCTTGACAATCTGGCTGTTTTCACAGGTATGGCGGCCAGGAAAGTTATCAAGGCCAAGCTATTGGTGAATGGTCTGTTTAGGAGCCACTTTGTGCTAGTCAGCTGGGAACAGTGCTTTTTATATTTTTACAAAAATACATATATGTTGCATTTTAATTCTTGTTAGCCGCCCAGAATCGCATTGGTGAGATGGGTGTCCATATAAATGAATATAAATAAATAAATCTATATCACCTCTAGCACCCAGAAAAACCGTGGAATAAACATGTACTGAAATAATTATTTCAGACTACAATGTCTCAATCCCTTTGGGAATTCTGTCTCAGTGCATTTCAGATGTTTGGATCTATAGGCAGTTCTTTTAAAAATAAAGCTTAGTGTTCCCCCCCCCCCCCCACACCCCATCTGTTCATTCTGAATTTAGCATTTGGGCTCAGCATGTCAAGCGTCACAGTTGACCTCAGGCCAGCTTCTTTCTCTGAGCTCATCCTTAATTTGGACTCAACTGGCTCAGACATGTTTCTGATGTCATATAAGTTAGAAATAGTGAGCAGTCTTGGCCATCCCAGCCCATCTTGGGGAAGGCTGACTCTGGTTGAGCCATTGCAGCCAGCCGCGCTGTTTGGCTTCGGAAGGGCTCCAGAACTGCAGCTTCCTTCTGCTCATGGAGCTCTTCTGTCCCTCTGGTTTTAGAGTTGGGATCCTGAAAGTCTTGGTCAGGAAGCTCCTTGGCCAAGAGGGAGTCAGTAATGCCAGGTAAGCTGGATGCAGCCTTCTGGCCCCCTCCACGTGCCAGATTTGCTAGCCAGCTGGGAAAGGGTTGGCTCAGCTGCTGTGTCTAAAGTGCCACCTTTCCTTGGTCTCACTGAAGTTGGTCTCACTGAGGTTGGTCCGACATGGCTTGTTTGTGACAAAGATGTAATGGCAGCCTTTGTTTTCAGACATTTGCAAACGTGCTGCTTGATAACCTATTCTTTGCCCAGTACAGACATTACACTATCCAGTCTGTGGTTTCTTGGCTCCTCCTGCTTCCCCTTTTTGAATAGGGGGACAAAGTTTATTCTTCTCCAATCTTCTGGCACTGTTCGGAGATGACCGTTGGTGGTTCTTGAGTTCATTTCTGCACTTCTACTCTGGGATCTTACTCATGTGGCTCTGGAGATCTGTGAGATGAATTCTTACTAACTCTTATGTTGCTGATGAAGAGAACTTGGAAACTTGGATGTATTTTTCTGGCATTCTAATGAGTGAAAATAAAGTTATTGCTCAACTCTGAATTTTGGGATGTATTTCTCTTTTCTGGAGCAGCATATTGCCTTTGGGGTTGCCAGCTGAATGTCCACCCAACCTCCTGGTAATAGATTTTCCAGGCCCCATACATGGGACAGGAGTACCTAAACCCAGCCTGACATTTAGCTTTTCTACCACTCTGCTCGAGGCCTTCTTTTCAAAGATGGCCCCGTGCTGGGCTCTGGACTGGTTCACAGGCCAGAACAAGCTGCCTAACCCAGAAGACAGTTCAAATCCCTGCACCAGGAAACCTGGCATGATAGGAGACATGCTGTTGCAAGGTTTTCTCCTTCTCAGGCCAGTCCTGACACAGGCTGGGATCACTGACCCTGAAACTATCAACTGCTCCAGATGTTTACCTAAACTGGAAATGGTTTTGATTTATAATTTTGCCAGTGATTCCAGATATGTGTAGAAGTCACTCTAGCCCCCTTTGGCAGGTGGAGACTTTTCCAGTTACTGTTCTTCTGTCAGTGCAAGGGTTAAAGAAGGGTTATTTGGGGAGAGAGTGGGAAGAAAGGAAGGATTTCATAGACTCACGTCCAGCTGACAGCTGCAGGGAAACTACAGCCTCTCCTGCAACAGACTGAAGACTGCTGAGTGTGTTAGTGTGGAGACCCTGTTCTGCCAGTGCCTAAGGAATCTCCATGGCCAGGCTGCCCATTGAGGGCAGCAGAGAAGGCAGTTGGGGGTGGCAGAAAGAATGCCTGGAATGTTGCAGGCTCCTGAAACCCCCCTCCCAAAATAGGCCTCGGCCCCACCCTCTTTTGCAGTGCAGACCTCAATATGCCACGCCAGCTTGGGTGGCCTGCTGGTGGCCTGATCCCCCAGCAAGCTGTTAACCAAAGGTTCTTTATGGGGCGGGGGGGTGTTCAAAAGCCTGGAGTCCAGTCATTTGCCAATTTAGATGGGACTGTGCTTCAACAACAGTAAACTGGGGGGAATTTTTGGTAATTAAAAAAATGGCTGTGTGAATTCCTTGAATCTCTGTGTATTTTTTCTTAATTAACTTATAAAACCCTGAGTACCTCAAATTTAAGTAAGTTCCTAGTCCGTACATTTGTGAAAGGAGGGAGTAAAGAAGATGACCTTGATGGGAATATCCAAGAACCGCTACCTAGGCCAAGGGGGCTGAAACATTTTTTAAGGGTTGAGAAAAAAGATCATGTTTGGAAGCAACTCAGGCTGACACCTCCCTGATTCACTGAACTATAAGGAGGAGGAGGAGATCCAGCAGAGTCAGGCTTGCAAGATTCTGTTATTATAGCCCATCTGAATAACAGCAGCTTTAGCCTCCCTCTGGAGTTGATTTCCTGGTCTGGTCTGCTGAGTGGGGCAGACAGCTGAGAAGGCGATGGATGATGCCATGGGTATCAGTGAGCGGCTAGCCAGGAATGGAGATAATGGAGGAGTGATTTTGTGGAGTTTGCATGTTTTCTGGAAAGTAAATCCTGCTTTTTCCTTGGTGTGAATTTTTGATATGCCTCTAAGCAATTGAGTGTACAGAATTCTGACTCCTTTTTAAAGCTTTCCATTTCTCTTCTTCAGTTCTGGGACCAGCTGGATCGTTCGATGGTCTTTCCATTCCTGAGCAGCTCTCTGGACCACAATGGCAGAGACAACGAGAGGGGCCACCAAGCCCATGCAGACCTTTGGGGACCAAGCCGACCCCCCCGACTGCCCATGGCCCGGAGGTATCGGCCCCGCCTCAGCACCCGGCCAGATCGGTCGCCTGCCATTGAAGGGTAAGAATCCGAGGGGCAAGCTCTCAAAAGCAAGATCTGTATGCAGAAGGACTTGAAGAGTACAAATCTGTTTGCTTTTACAAAGAATGGTTGTTATTTCATGGAGTGAAGGTAAAACAAGCATAGCCCAAAAGCCAGTATTTTTCACAGTGATCCTCTCTGGGCTCTGACAGCCAGGTCAGCATTTTGCATCCTATATCCATCGATATACTATTTGCCAAATGGGGATAATGCTTCATGCATTATATAAGATGAACTGTATTCTGCTGCCAGAAAAATATGGTTGGTCTTGGTATCAGCAGATGTGCTTATTCTTGGGCCAGGTGGCAAGTTCTGTGAATGTGGCTGCTCCTTTCTTACCTGTGACCTTTCTCTGTTCTTCCCACCCAACAAATCCCCTCCCTGGAGCAGAATAATACAGCAGATCTTTGCTGGATTCTTTGCAAATTCAGCAGTTCCTGGATCACCACCCCCATCTTTCTCCTGGTGAGTGGCATCCCCTCTTGGCGATCATGTTGTGTCCCTGGTGCTTGGATTCAAGCATGGGCTGAGTGTGTGAAATGGGGCTGTTCTGGGACTGGTTGAGAACCTTCTCAAGCTGCTTTTCAGGCCAAACCCTGGGGGGAGGGGGGGAGGGAGGGCAGGCTGGAAGCTTCTTGAGGGGACGTTGCTGGAATGGCAGGCAGGGCGTTCCTCTTCGTCCTGCTCCAGGTCTAGCTCCAACTGGCCAACCTCCATCGTTTCTCTTCTGCCCACACCCCAGTTTGAACTTATGGTGATGCAGCCTGGGACTTGGGCCAGGGCTGACAACACAACCCTTCCCCTGTGAGCTTGAGCCTCTTCTCCCAATGTTCCAGAAAATTGCAGCTTGAGGCAGCAGTGGGGCAGCCAGGAGGGCTTGAAGTGCTTGTCCACCATGTGGCTTGAAAGCTGAGGGAAGGAAAGCAGCTGCTCCCTCCGGCCCCCCCTTGAGCTCCCTTCTCTTTCCCTCCCTCCAGGGGAGGCATGCAGGGGAGGCTGCACTCTAGCTTTGGGGACTACGCGTGGGACCAGAGTGGCCTCGATGCTGTCTTGACCCAGGTAACGGCACCGGCCAACAGACCCCGGGCAGGGCTGCCCTTTTCCTCCTGGCAGTGACATCTCTGTGGGACATTGCTGTGCCTCCTTCCCTTTGTTTGCTGTATGCCAAGTGGGGTCACATCTCCTCAGCCAGCCCATCTGCCCTGCTGGGCAACAGGATGAGAGACAGCATGCAAAGTGCTTAGGAGAAATGAGGGAGCCTGCGTCATTGCGCATCTCAGCACTGGAAGGATACTGACCTCGGCTAGACACACACGATAAATGGAGCCCCAGATCAGCCAAACAGACTGGATTCATACAGCATGCTAAGCCACAGGTGTGCACATACACGCACACACACGCACACAGACAGAGACAAAACACACCTAATTGAGGTTGAAACTAACAAAGCTGTGTATGTTATGGACTAGTTCATGAGCTGGATAAGTATGCTGTGTGAATACAGATACTGAAACTCATAATGCTAACACACAGTGATGTTTATTTCTGCTTTAGTATGATATACAAACCCATCTATTAGGCCTAAGTATTATGTGTCGACCAAGCCACCCTGGTTTGTTCAACTCACCAAAACGAATTCTGATTTAACATTTAATGCAATCTGTGCTAGCCACAAGCATATATTGTTCCAATTTATGGGATCAAGTCCTAAAAAGATTGCTAACAGTCAAATTCCCCTGAAATATAGTTTTGATTGAATGATGGCAAGAGGATGTTAGTTCAAACAGAACAAAGCTGAGAGTCTCCATCTGATTAATGGCCTGGAAGAGCTACGTAGGCCCTCCCAGGACTCTGAGCAATGTGTTGCGGCATTAGAATCCTACAGACTGTTGAGGCCCAAAGCTTTGGAAACCTCTGCCTTCCGAAGGAGCATGCATGTTTTTTAAGTTTGTGTGAGTGTCTGATTCCCATGTGGCTTGGCTGGGAGGGGCACTTAAACAACTCTCTTCTTTTGGAGTTCTTCCCACATAGTTTGCAGCAGTAAGCAACTCAGCCTTACGGCCTCTTCTCTTGTGTAACCACCACCTCCTCCTCTCACTTCTCTTGCAGCTTATGGGACACCTGGAAAATACAGGGCCTCCCCCAGCTGAGAAGGAGAAAATTTCTTCCCTCCCAACAGTGACTGTCACTCAGGAACAAGTGGGTAAGTTCTTACTTTCATCACCGTTTGTTATCTTGTCTGGAGCCAGTTTGACCAGGTTGTACTTCTTGGTAAGAAACAGCTGCTCTCAGGATCAGCTGGAGATGTGCTCCTGGCAAAATAACCCTGGTGGCACCACTTCTGGGGACTGGCTTTGATTTCAGAGCTTGGGAGCCCTGTGCAGAAGGCTGGGTTTTGCACATAAGACAGTCTCGTGCTTCCATCCAACAGAGCTTTAGCTGCAAGCTCTACTGCATTTGTAAATGTTTTGCAGCACGGCAGCTTCTCAAAATTGGATTTGCCAATTCAGAGACTGCACCACACCATCATGCCGTCAGAATATGGTTTTCAGAATTATTTCACCAAGATTTCCACCATTAGTCAACCATTTGTAAACCTTTTGTTTCAACCAGCAGTCAAACTCAACTGCTGTCCCCAGTCAAATCTTTCACTTAGAAGTTCATCTTCTGTCATCTCCAGTTGTCCTCTGACTTAAAATAGGAATAATAAATTACAAGCATGGAAGTGGTGACCTTCCATCTTTATGTAAGAAAATTGCAGTAATGACTCCAGTTGCCTTTATCTTTCCTGGACCTGGCCTAGGGGGAGGCGGGAGGAAAAGACCCTAGAAACTCAAACACACACACAGAGTACTGTGCAAAAGTTTTAGGCAGGTATGAAAAAATGCTGTAAAGTAAGAATGCTTTCAAAAATATATGTT